CGCCAAATTTTTATCTTTCGACCAAATCAAAAACGGCTACGTACAAGACTGGGTCATCTATCAGAGAATAACCACATAAAAAAATCGTTGTTCCAGCTCCAGTGGTGTGACCGCCAGACGTCCAGCCCCGCGACGACTCAGACGGGAGGTCTCCTGGGGAACCTGGTGCAGCGGCTACAGGAGACATTCAATAGCGCCAATAAAAAAATCTCAATTAAAGAGGACATTTCAATTGACAAAACCATGCATTCCTTTTTTTAAATGATCGTTATTTACCCTCACAAAAAATTCGTGAAAATGACCTATTTTTCATGCCGCCAGAGTGTACTACCCCCTTAATATGCTCGAAGTGTACATGATTTGGCTTAGCGAAAACAATAGTTTGGCTGCTGTCGCTACCAACTAATCATCTCAGTGCTGCCAATATTGTAAAAAAAACGTTCCGCATGGCACAACTAACAACCATGCTACTCCATAGAATACATACTTCAAAACTGAACCTTACACGGCCGATGAGAGCAACTAAGAATAGAGTCGAATTTGACTCAAAGTTTAAAAAAGGTGAATTACTAAGTGGATGAGTAAAATATTTCCCAATTTTCGTCAAAAATCGGCTCTAATATCAGGAAAAGCGATGAATATTCCATTTAATCAATTGTCTACCAAAGCAGAATGCTAAGATGAAACACTTTCTATTAGAGTCGAGGGACACGCAATACAAAGAACCAGTGCGTTGAAGTTAAAATGCAATCAAAAGTACTTAAATTAATTAATGCGTTTTCCAATAGTACTGACGGTAATTAAAATTAACTATCCGTACTTAATGCAACCAAAAGTATTGAACATGTAATTAATGTACTTTAATTACGAAAATTCGACTGTAATGAATGGACTTAAAACGTAGTTAATGTTCTACCCCCCGTATTCTACTGAATACCCCCCGTATGCAAGGTGTTTCGTGCTTATGCTGCCCCTCGGTAGAGCTGACGTTTTGCGATTTATTATCAAAACAATCACACCAAAAATCAGTGATGTCCCTTTTTGTAACTATTTTGTGTTCGCTGTGCTGTCATTTTTTCCACCAATGAGAGTGCATAACGATGGGTGATGATCCTCTGGAGAAGTTAAAGCTTACTTGGCATGATATATCCGATTTTTCGGTTAGTTAATCTATTATAAGATTATTCAAATAAATATGAAACATAAACCGTCTATGTCAAATATAAGGACCGTTCATAAATAATGAGACAGTTCGAAAGGGACCGTTACAGTTACAATAATGGTTGTAAAGATCTTAAACTAAAAAAGCTAATACAAACTCGTACTGCATAATCGTTTTAAAACTCTTTACAAAATATTGTCTCAATCAAGCAAATGTAAACAAACTTTGGCTCACTGGTCCTTTTCATACATTGCTCGAAATTTTTCAAGATAAATTGCGTAGGATATCGCACCCAGTCAAACACACATGGGCCGGGACCAACGGCTTTACTTCCCTTCCGAAGGAAGACGTGACCAGAGATTTTTATGCCTCAGAAAAATCCCACCGACTGGGATTGAACCCAAGCACATTGGGGGTGAGTAAGCAGTCACGCTTACCACTAAACCACCGGCGCCGGCTTCTAGTAACCTTATCAGCATCAGAAACGCTGTTTTGTTTTGATTCTGCATTCAGTTTCGCAATATTCCATTTCACTTTCCTCCATTCCATATACTGAATGTTATTTCAGCAATTTTTAGTTAGCAGTTTATTAGCGGGGTTCAAATTAAAAAGTGTTCAGATTAAAAGTGGTCAGATTAACGTGGGTCCACGGTATGATCCATATATATGCTTGAATTCAATGGGCTGAACAAGCTTAAGTTTAATGGCGTTTGGTGTTTAAGAGAATAAATTTTACGATATTTTCCCAGATGTTTTGCGTAATTTGGATGCGTTTGAGCCAGCGACCGTTCAAGAAGATAAAGATATCAGGCATGTTTTACAACTTTGGAGCATAATATGCAATATGTTTCATGTTTATGCCCTTTTCACATGTTGTTCTTGATATGTTTTAACTCCTCCGGTGTGATCTAGTTAAAATCCAAAAATACAATTTAGTTTACGCAGTGCTCTGGAACGTTTAGAAAGTGCTCCTCTTTTAGTGCTGATCAGTGCTGAGATTTGTCATTGTCATTGACAGACTTTCGCCCGATATTGACAAAATTGTTCGTCACATAGTCACTGACAGACTTGATCCTCAAAAAAACCTTCGTCAAAATCTCATTCATTTTTTCGTCAATGACAAAGATTCACCTGGTAACAAAAAGTGTAATTTAGTACATTCTGTGTCACATTCCCCCTTATTCTGCAAGTCACGTGACTCTCTGTCACCGGTGAGGTGACAATTGTCACCTCGTGTGAGGTGACTCTCCATGTAAATCAAATGGAGAGACACCTCACACGAGGTGACTATTGTCACCTCACCGGTGAGAGAGAGTCACGTGACTCGCAGAATGAGGGGGATTATTGTTATCCAAGTAGCTCAGAACGTAGATACTTGTTCACTAAAATGGATCCATGTGATTGTTTTGTTCAAGTCATTTCATTTTGTGGCAAATTTAGCTAATAAACATATCTGCACATGTTCGTCACTGACACCATTGTCATTGACAATTGACATGGTTTGCCTTGACTATGACTGTTAGCTCAAATGAGTGACCAAAGCAGAATTGTCAATATCACCGTGTACTGTCGAGATTTTGCAGCACTGGCTGATAATTTCTTCACGATTCGTGAAAGGCGACAGATTAAAATTGATCTTGCACAAATTAATCGGAAATCCGGCGTGGTCAGGATTAAAAGTATCGGAAATGCTTAAATTGGCCAAATATACGTTAAAATTCTATCTGACGACAACACGAGGAGTTCTTGTCTCGCGCAAGTTTAAAATCGTTTTCGCTAATTATTCTGCACGCAAACTTATGATCTGGCAAGGGATTTGCAGAAAATAGAAATAGATGTCATATTTCACTTTGTACCACAATTTCATCGGAAATCCTTGATTCTATGTAAACAGTTTAAACTCTTAAGTAGAATGACTCATGGAGAAATCAATTAATTCTCCGTCTCGGTCCAGAATTCTTGGAAGAATATTCTTTCTTTTGGAATGATTTCCAAAATGTATTAAACGGTTCCATTTGCTCTACTTGTAATTCTGAAAAAAAGGATTTTTGGATCTTGTGTTTATTTTCTAGAAGAATAAAAAAAAAATGTCACCGATCGCTGCAATTTAACGCAAATCATGTAATTCCTGAAGTTTACCCAGGATCTATTTTCATATGACGCTTTGTAATTTCACAAGTAAAAATATTAAGATTTTTGCAAATGCATGTAACTGAAACTAAAATCGATTATTTGCTGCGAAGGAGCCAACAATGTTTGAAATTTACTGATTTATAAATCTCTTGAATCGTGAAATCCATGCTCTTGAATTTGCAAGGTTAGATTGATTTAAGGATTGTACGTCGTTCCCCCTTAACATTGACCCAAACCAGACCCCCGGAAAGTGTCACACCGCAAACCGGTATGGATCTGTATACATGACTCGGGTGCATATTTCAGTTAGCAAGCTGAGCGCTAAACCACCCATTTGCACCCGAGTCATACGCGTGTACATTCACCAAAAACCACATCGGGTATAGGGTGTAATATCACTTTTCAGCGGCACCACTCAACCACACATTAACTGTGCACAATCTTTTTAGCGATCGTGTTGTCAAGTCCCCATGCAACTTTACTCGCTGATCTCATACCAGCCTCTATCTCAGCCAGAGGCCAATTAACAATTTTCGTCTGAGCTCATTTCATTTGATACGCGTACAAGAAAAAAAACATCCACCGTCATCGCGACGATCAACGCTCGAGTCCGAATTTTCAGCGAAGACAAAAGCCTGTGCGAGCATCTCTCGCGCAGGATGATTGTCGCTAGTGTTGTGGTTGTTTTGATTTTTCTTCATCAACGAACGAACAACCTCCATTGTTTCGAGGAAGCAAGCCAGCAAAAAAAAGTATAAATTACACAACGTGCTCGTTTTCCTTTCCGCATTTTCAATTTTGTGATAATTTGGATTTTCCTCCGCAACCACCACCATCACCACCAACCATTGTGGTCTGTTTCGTTTTTCGGATTGGGTAGTGAAAAAGTTGTAAATTACTCATCTTGTAAAATACTGATTATGCTGAGAGTGTGTAGGTGGGTGAGTTAATGAGATAGGGGCGCAGTCATGTCATGGTCGCCAAATGAGAAAATCTAGGTCCCAGCGCAAGCGAACCGCGATCTAGGTCTTTGTTACTACAAACAAGAAGGGAAAATCACGAGCACCATGAGGCGATTACGGGGTGTTGCGAGAAAATTTCACGAATAAACAGCATGGCTTTACGATCGGTCTAAAATATACAAACGAACGATCGTAGGAAATAATAAAACCGATTGCTTTCGCCCTGTCAGATGGGAACAATCAAGTTTGCGCACATACACTCTCGAACAACACACACGCGCACTGCACTCTCCTACGTGAAGATGATGATCGCGCGGTATGAACAACATTGGTTTTTCGTTTCTTTTTCCTCGATAATTTTCTCGCTTTTCGGACGTTTTGTGTGGGCTGAAAAATGTACCGTTCAGCTGCGGTCTGCGATCGCGAGGAAAAATATTTTTTGGAAAATGTTCCACCTCTAAAAATATAACACATTCTTGAATTTTACTCACCCGCTCTCGCTCAAGCACAGAGCCAGGGCCATGACTGTGTGTGTGTGTATTTGTGTGCAAAACGTTTCTTTCTTCTTCGCAACACACTGCTTATAAACTACTGCGGACTTTACTTTCGTTAGATCATATCGGATATAAGTGGAGCAAAAATCGAGATCGAGGAAAATCTTAACCATTTGTTTTTCCATCAATCTTTCGGTCCTGAACTATATCCGATATGTGTGTGAGTTCGAACGATGTTATGATAATTACCCGTTTCAGTTGTGTCTTCATGATATTGTGCAGCTCGTTCCGGATAATGTTGAATTTCATCATCGTATCCGAGCTGAATATGGACCGTCCGAACGCCAGCCCTGGATAGTCCGCGCATCGTTTCTGCCGTCGATGTTCCCTTTCGGCGATGACCTCAGTCCGCTCGCTAGTACACCGCAATTTGGCCCATTCCGCCGCGTCCGGATCATTCTCGTCTGCTGCTGCTCCACCGTCATCGCACGGTGCTCCGTCTCCCAGCGCTCGTTCCAGTTTGGAAATATCACCCGTTGAAGCCCGGATCTTTTTCCGCTGCTTGCCATTACTGCTGCCATCGGAATTTTTGGAAGATTTCTTGCTACTAGTATTGGATTTCTTCCGGCCAGCGCTGGCGCTGCTAGAATCATCCGAGGACGGACTCTTTTTGCTGCGTTTTAGCTTTTTGCTAATTTGCTTGACTAGCTCCTGACCGCTGGGCACTTCTTCCAGCTTGATTATCTCCAACGGTTCCCCACTAGCAGCACTTCCTCTTCCGTCATCATCTTCGTCATCGTCTATCACTATTACATTACTAGTCGTGCTATTGCTTATATCGCTACTAACTAGACTATTGCTGTTGCTGGTGTTGTTGGTTTTACTTTGTTGTTGATCAATCAACTCATCACTTTCATCTATCAGCCTTTCGTCGTCTTCTATTATACTTTTACTGGTATCGTGATACAGTTCCACTTCCGGGTTGAGATCCTGGCATAGATTGCTGCTATTATTATTTACAAGATCATCATCATTGCAAGCGATATCGCCGTCATCAGTTTCAACACCACCATCGTCATTATCAGCTTCGATTGTCATCGACATCGATTGTTTGTCTTCCACCCCCGCTCCGGTGACAATCTGCTGGGGATTTGCATTCTCGTCGTTGCTAATGATTATGTCTGTGTTTACTATACTGTTGCCAATCAGCAGTGACGACGATGACGAGCTGCTGCTAATACTGCCTCCGCCTCCCGTCGTAAATGATCCGCTGATGTCGAAGGCACCTCTCAGCGCTGCAATCACGTCCTCGGCTGGTACATTGGATTTCCTGCTGCCGCTGAACCTCGGATGATGCTGGTGACCCCGTTTCCTACCCGAACCTCCAGACGGAACGGGATTATTTTCGCACATTTTACCAGCAGCACCACCATCGGCCAAACTTGCCGAACTTGTCGATCGTACTTGTTCTTGTTTTTTACTCGCTGCTGTCACTGACACTGAGCTACGTCTGCTGCTTGCTGGTTTCGCTGTTCGGCGGCGCTTCTTTTTCGCCACCACTGCCGTTTTCGCTCGGTTCTTCTTCGCTGTCAGCTCTTGGCCACAGTTGATCAACGCTAGCGCTCTCTCGTGGCCAGCACTGATATTATTACCTCGTCCATTCGTCGCTTCCGACGATGCATGGTTGCGTGAATTTCGTGTCCTTCTGGCACGTTTTCCACCGTTTCCTCTGGGCTTACTATTGAAACAGTTTGATCCTCGTTTTCTATTGCCGTACGATATTACTCCGATCATTCTCTACCAGCCGACCAAATAAACTATCATTAAAAACTAGCTCTCCTTGTTCCCGGACCGGTTTCCTTTGTACTTTGACGTTAATACACACTTGGTTTAGAATTACAGTTGAACTACACTACTGGCTTCTTTTCCCTTGCAGAGCAGCACGGGATGCGGTTTTCACTGCATCTCGTCTCTTCCAACAATGTGCCGGATAGTGTACTTATCTCATGAATGAAACTCCGCACCGATCTCGTTGGGCCAGCGAAAAAAACTGCCGGCATTCTTACGATTCCTCATGCTGACCCTCGCTTTCACGCTCTCAATCTATTTTCCTACTCTCACTCGTGATCGCTAACACCACCCCCGCGCAGCCGACGACTCCTCCGCCTGCCGTTACATTTGACACGACATCACGAATCATCGTTGCGCCATCACCCGTCGTCGTCGATATTACCAATAAAAAGATTTATATAATTAGAGGATGAATGGTTCTGGTCCAACCCCGTGCAAGTCTGTCTGTCATACCATCCACTCACTCAGGGTAAATGAGAGAAAGTCCATTTAGTCATGACACCAAGCCGGCTCGGACTCCGGCCGGCCGCGATCACAGTTTGTCATCCCCCAACGACCGACCGCACGGGTCGCAACCATGTTTTCCCAATGCGCATGCCCAGCCGCCATTGAGTAGATGACGCCATATTTAATACCGCACCGCAGCGTACATGTGTAGTTATATGCACAAAATGCCTCTCGCGATGCGCTAAAAATAAGCACTTCTTCGGGCCACAAAACGACGATCCAACTTTCCCGAATCTTCCGCACATCGAAATTATAAGCGACCACCATGTTACCAGGCAGCGCCAACTATGTTTATCAAAACGCAGTCGCCATCTTGTTTTCCCTTTAATTCAACTGTCAAACAAACGAAAATTATGCAACATTCACACGCATCATCCGAAGTCCAAGCAGTCGCCTCTCTGGTTAGATAACGAATGCAGGTGAAATTCCTTCGGATGCACCAAATGCAATCAGAGCAAATTCCTTTGCACTCAAACAAAAACGCATTCTAACTATAGCCTCGTTACTGGTGCGAACCGCGCTCGTCGGAGGAAAAATTTACGATCTAGGTTATCATCTTATTATTCTTTTGAGATTTTTGACAAAAAAAAAACTGTCCACTTTTCTGAATGAATCCCACAGCTCAAGGACAGTATATTTTTTTTGTATTATTCTTCTTCTTTTCTCAGGACCAGAAAATTCGAAATGATCTGTCGATTGACGCGTTAAAAATTACAGCTTTCATATTCGCAAATTCGAGAGCGGAATGCAAGTGCGACGACGTGAGGTCATCGTTGCCCGCCGGCCGGAAATAATTAATGGCGTGTGAGGTGCGGCTAATTTTCGGTGCCCAACAACTTACTTTTTCATTTGAGACCGAGAAAAGGATGGTGATGTCATCGTTCAAGTTAAAATTTCGGTATTCGACTGGTAGGTATTCGGACTTCAGAAATACAGTTGAAACAGAATCGCAATAATTGCTTTACTTTGGTGCATTCTACTAAAGTACGAAATTAAACTGTTGTTTCGAAATATTAGATTATTTTCTATTAACTTTTCACTGACTGATTGGACTGGCGATTGTTTCAATCTCTTCGTATCGCTTGGGAGTATTCATTTCTTATGCAGGTATCTTGTGCAGATCCTTATAAATATCAATCAATCAATTACATAAATTAACCATATTAGTGAACACTGTTCGAAAGATTTATGTAAATTTCTTAGATTCCTAGCGAAACAGTAGTTAATGCTGTGTCACAGACAAACAGACATAACACTCGCAAGATGTTCATCGAACAAGCATTTAACGGTCAATTTAAACGTATCGTAGTTGGTAGTACCGCCACCTGTGGCGCGCATAGTCATTTCCCTTGAGTTTGACGTTTACACACTACCGCCACCTGTTCAGCGTACTACCCACCACAGTGTACTCAACAGATGGCGGTAATGTTTTAGCGACGATGTTTTACAGTGAGAAATATTCAATGTGTTATGTCTGTTTGTCTGTGGCTGTGTCATAATTTTCTGCGGAAAGGAAGGAAAGCCGTTGGTCCCGGCCCATGTGTTGATGGGTACGATATCTACCCAGGTATGGAGGCTGCCTCCCTGGCAATTCGATTGCTTTCAATGTATGGCAATCGATGTCCGTCGGTGTTTGGCACTAGATTGCGGAACAAAAACCGACATTAAATCAAGGAATCAAGAGTTGTCATAATATCATATGATTATTCATGTAAATTTTTACGAAATATCACTTAAATCAACAGCCATGCAAATCATACAAGGTTGTTGACAATTGAGATGTTTATGCAAAGTTTGGCTCATAATTATACAACGAATATTTTACGTGACGATTCCACATTCTTTCTGTGAGCAAATCCACGCCAACTGACGAATGGATTTTTTTACCTTCTCCGAATCTCGAATACATTTTTTAGATTTTAATACCCCGTTCACATTACAGCCTATATCACGTAATATAGGCTGTCTTGCAATGAGCACTCATGCATAGGATTTCCAGTGAAAACTAGATGTATGAGTGCTCATTGCAAGACAGCGTATATCACGTGATATACGCTGTAATGTGAACGGGGTATAAGCTTATGAAAGCTTATTAAAAAGCTTAGTTTTCTGATATTGAACACAGGGGACGCTTTAAAATTGACCAAAACCGCGAAGAATCAACTTTTATTAAATTTTTTAGCTTTTTCAATCGCAATATTTATGTTTTTTTTTTTTATAGTCACTTTAACGCTTTTGGGTCATTCGTGACTTGTCCGGGGGTGAGATTTGAACTCGTGACTTTGGCGTGAGAGGTATGGATGCTAACAACTACGCCGGGGTCGTGATTTCTTTTTTTTTTACAAAAACTTGATTTGGGTCAATTTTAAAGTGTCCATAAAAAAGCTGGCATTTTTTATAAGCTTCAAATAAACATAAGTTGAAATATCTTCAAAACGCTATTTTTTTTGCTATTGAAGTTTCCATATATCAGTTCTTTTTTTGCATTCTTTTACAAAAAAAAATGTGATTTTTTTTCAGTGTGTAAAAAAAAGCGAATAAAGCATTTTACGCAAGATTTTACGAGACTCCTTAATAAAGCAGTTCCTGGCCAAATAGCGAATAATGCTCATGTAACTATGCATAATTGTTTATTATGGATATATTTGCTAAAATTCAGCCATTTTGGATCTTGTATTTTATTTTTCAAAATGGCGTCTTTGAAATTAAAAATACGTTACTTCTGATCGAAATGACGTCTGAGACCAAGATGTAGATAAAAATAAAGTCTTTATGGGAAAATATATACATGGTAATTATTTTTTAGTTATTTTGAGAGCTTAAATATCTTTAAATCTCCTTGGTTAAATTTTTGAAATTATAAAAAACGCTCATTAAAATTATTCATATTTTTTTACGATTTTTGTCAATTTTCAATTTTTGTCAATTGTCAAAAAAATTGCAATTGCAAGGAAATAAAAAATTAACAAGGAAATTTTGAGATATTTGAGTTTTTAACACTGTCTTTGAATTTTTAACCGAAATTACTTTTTTTTTTTTAAATAAGTTTGTCTTTTTCCCAAAAGACATTATTTTTCTCTTCAACTTTGTCTCAAATAGCATTCCGATCAGAAGTTACGTTTACATTGTACAATATATTGAAAAATGGCAAAGACGCCATCATAGAAAATCAGGAGATTTAAAATGGTCGAGGTTGAGCAAAAATGTGAATTATTGCGCATAACAAACAATTATGGAAAGTTTCATGCAATCGAAGAAGACCGAGTTTTTCCGATTCGTCATTTGGCGTGTAATTGCTCAATATGTCCTTTTAATTTTCACAGAATTTCCAGTCTTTATGATATATTGGGCTTGGCTTTGATTTGTAGACTATCGTGAAAATATTCGATAGATGATAACATTTATTTACACGACAATCACGAACGATTATTCGATACACCAACTGCAACGTACCGCTCTGGAAATTGTAGCAACGGACCCCACCAATGTATGCTGAGGGTATAACCATAGAGGTAACTCTAAAACCAGAAGGTCCCGAAGATACGTGATCAACTTTTTGGCTCAGCTCTGGTACTATCTTCGGTCCCAAGTTAATCGATGCACCCCTCGAGACATAGGAAAATCCATGAACCCCTCATTTTATCTGTCAAACTTTCATAGCAAATCAAAACAAACATTTCGACTATTTTGATCAAAGATCAAAGATTTTCGATTCCCAACACTAGAAACTAGAAAATAGTACTAGAACACGCCTCTTGTGTTGGGAATTGAAAATCTTTGACAGTGGTTTGTTTAAAAGACAACTGGTGCAAGTTTGATCAAAATAGTCGATCGCGTTCAGAAATAACGTCAAATGGAACTTGAAAGAAGGAAAAAATATTGTGCCCAAACACCTCGAAAATCCGGAGTGGTCCGGTTCCAAGCTGGTTAAAGTGCTGAAGATGCCGAAAACAACAGTTTGACGAGTGCTCAAAACCTACAAGGAAACCCTGAGTGTGGAAAGGAATCAGCGGACCTACGAAAAAACTGGAACCAGAAGGTACAACGCCAACTTTCAAACGGTACGGAACATCCTTGCCAGGGAAGCATACAAGTCGTAGAAAGCCAGTAAACATCAGAACCGGCACATGAAGCAGAATTCCGTGGCCAAAAAGCGTGCAAAGCTCTTGTACGACCGTGTTTTGTCGAAACACAAGGACTGCACTTTGATCGATGACGAAACATACGTCAAACTCGATTTTAAGCAGCTTCCCGGCAAAAAGGTTTACATCGCGACTGGACGTGGGGATGTGCCGGGAAGATTCAAGTTCGTGTTTGCCAACAAGTTCGCGAAGAAGGCCATGATTTGGCAAGCGATTTGCTGTTGTGGCCTGAAAACGGAACCAATCGTCACATCCTCGACGATTACATCGAAGAATACCTGAAAAAGCGTGTATTGCCGTTCATCCGCA